TGTGCTACTCGTAGCACGCCTGGCAGTCGCACAAGACCGCCGAGAAGTGCATGAGGTTGCCTAGCCCTTAGCGTTTCAGATGATCCTGCACTGGCACCAGCTTTGCACCAGCAAAAATCAAGTCGCACCGAGGCTGAAGAAGAAGCAACGGGTTCGGGCAGAGCGCGGACGCGGTGTTCAAAAGGCTGAGATCACAGGGCAGAGGCATGTGGGAGTGCTTTATATATGTCACCTCGAGGCCAGACCTTTGGTTTTCCTGGTGTCTTGGGCAAATGCACAGGAGCTGGCCGCTTGACCTTTAGATCCTTTAGACACCTTAGACACTTTTAGACACTTTAGATGTTGCTGTTGCGGAGCGGGTTGGCTTCGGGCCCTTCCGGGCCTCATCCTGAGGTTGGCTTCCTTCAAGAGGCCGCCCACATGCCACCGCTGAAGGCGGATGAGGGGGAAGCCGATGTCTGTACGAAACGACTCTCAGCTTGCAGAGGTCGTGGTCTTGTGCGACACGAACGGAGCTCGGACAAGAGCTGCAGCCGAGAGGAACGCTCCGAGAGAGTTGAGCACATCACGTTGCATCGCCTCATTTCCGCAGGTGGTCCAAGGACATTTCCCTGATCGAGCACGTGGCTGCAACTTGGCCCGAGGCAGGGCGCTTGGGGTTTTCTGTCCATCGTGTGCAATGGAATGCCCCCCGCAGTCACAGGCCGTCCAAGTGGTCTCGGACCTGCTTTCGAAGTCCATCTCAACCGCTTAGTGGCTCCGACTCAGCACTGTGCGAATGTGTATACACACTGGGCCTTTGTTGCACCGCCACTTGGCAGGAAAGTTTTGCATGCTACATGCAAGCTTTTGCGGCACAGCTGGTGCCTTCAAAGTGTACATACTGTAGGAAATTGAACTATGCAAAGCTTGCCATTCAGATGGTAAGCCGTTTTGCCCAAACATAGCTTCCTCGAAGAAAAAGTCGCGGCAGGAAATGTAATCCACCTTTTGATAGATTCTATCTTGAATCATAGTTTATTAGATATATATATATATAATAGTTTGATCTCTGGGATGTTCTTCATTTCTATTCTTCGATATTCGATTTGCAATATATTTTTGGATTTCTGATCTATTTTTATTCCTTAATTTTCGATTTTCTTTATATTCTTATATATTCGTCTAATTTTTTGATTTCGCTTTCATTTATTTGGTAAATTTGGTTTGTTATATATTTCTGAAGGATCGGAAATAGAATCGATGATTTAAAAGGTATTGTTCTATGTATGAATAATGAAAATTTTATTAGAAGGATTTATATTGAGTTATTATATTCTTTCTAGATAAATATTCTATAGAAAACTATTCGAAGTATTAATTTATAGTATATATGGAAAATATATAATTTGTTGTAAAATTTATTTTTGGGATATTTATATTTAATAATATATTAAATATCTAGAAATTCTAGGAATATAATAGATTTGGAAATCTAATATTTTGAATGTAAATTAAGATGAAATCTAGAAATGGCGATATATATGATATTTCGTCGAAATTATTTGTCGATATGATGATGATAACAATAAGATAAATTTTGCGGCAATTTTTTGATTACGTGATAATAATTTGATTTTATGGAAATTTTTGACCACGTGATATTAATGGAAGGATTAGATACGGGGAATCTATATTTTGTTCGACATTAGGATTATTATTCTAGGCCTCTTTTGATAGCTTAAATATGGAAGTCCTCATTAAGATTATCTAAAATATCATTATTATTAGCAAAAATTGACTATGTTCTATTTTCGATATCTTCAAAGAGCAAAGTATTTTTTCCTTATCATTAAAAAACGAGATATGTTTCATCACCAATATCATTAAGAAATGAAATATATATTATTATCAATATGAATAATATATATATGAATATATCTATATATATATATAAATATCTTTTTTTGTAATCTGAAAATTCAAGTTTGAATGTTTTGATTTGACCATACGATTTCTCGCAAAGATAGGAGAAATTCTGTGCCATTGCTTATCCGATAAATAATATATTGTATCAAGCATCGTAATCTGATTTGACGGACAACCTCTCCCGCCCAATCTGTCGAAATCCGAAACTCCTGCTTGCGCTAACCGAAAAACGCTCTTATGGTCAACATATTGCCAGAAGATTCCAGAGATGTCTCTGTTAAATATTGGCATTTGGAAAACGATTAGAGATAGTATTCTATATATAAGATTAAGGCATAAATAGATATATATATATATGGACATATAATGGAAGATTCTCAATCAAGATATATAATTTCTCAATAATAATTCTTTAATATAATATCTAATTCAATCAAAGATAAATTGATCTCTATCGGATATATCTGAGATAAATCAAATATTATCGTTATCTAGAAACTGGTCATAATTCTGAAATAGATAATATCTTCTAATTAATATGGATCTATAAGAATCTCTCGGGAAGTTTGGATAGAGAATATAAAGAAGAAATAGACTCGATATATATATTCTATGATAAGTTCAACGCTATCTAATGCTCTTGAAGCAATCATCTTCAATTTGATAATTATGATAACAGATTTTTATCCCACGAATCGACAGAAAGAAAAATTAAGCGATCAAATGATAAATATTTAGATTGAGAAATCATTGATAATGAAAATTACAAGAATTTCATGACAGATAAGATTCGACTATTTCAAAATAGATATTAATCGCGTCAAATCTTCATATAAGAGCATATTAGATTTATATTTGCAAGAATAGAAAAATAGATATATTCTTATCAGAAAGAATAGATTAATTCGGAGATGATATGAATAAATATGATATAATCATGATAAAATTATCAACAAATATCGATATTCTGTCTGCAGAAGACAAAGAATACGATATATAAAGATTTCGATCTTTTAATCCGGGCCTTCTTTGAATCTTCATATTTTGATATTATCGAAAATGCCGTAGCACGTGTATCGTCGAAATAAAAAAGAATTATCGTTTATATCGGAAAGATTGAACGAAATATAACAGTATATATAAATAATATCGATAATCGGATCAGAAGATTCTTCTCAATTTATTTCGTCGATAATTAATCTTCAAATATCTCATGACGGGATATGGCGTTTGAAATTATCAAATATCTTTGAAAATCAAATCTCAAATAAATATATTATAAATAAAAAATAAAGAAAATCATTATATCATATATTCTATCTAATTCATATTTGGATATATAATCAAGAAATTAAAGAGATAATTGTTCTTTTACTCTTCATTCTTAGATTTTGACCAATTGGTTTTCTAGCGATAAAAAAAATCATTAACCATCAATTCAAACCAAGGTCTAAAGCATAAAAATCATCATAGAGAACTATTAGAAATAAATATATTCATATATTATTTCCATATGCGAATCAGATAAATATGTCTTCAGAGAATTATCTAATTATATAAAATATAATTCTTATAATATAAGATATATTTCTATTTTTTTTATATATCTCAAATTTATTCTTATCTTAATTTTTTGAAATGTATATTCCTCTGTAATCTTCGTCTAAGTATAGAAATCATATCTCGAAATCCTTCCTAAATTCTTACCGATTCGAAATCTTATTTTTTCTAATATTAAATTGTGTATCTCAAATTCAAATCTTCAAATTACATCTAAAATTTCATAACCACGCCCCACCCCCAGAGAAGAAAACATCAGAGACCTCACGGAAGCGAGATAATCGACCGCGGAATATTTGAATAAATATATAATCATCAGTCTAAATCAACATATATATATATATGAATAACAGAGATAATTGAATTTCAATCATGAATATTAATGAACCTTCTTCAAATTCAATCTTTATTCAATTTTTCGCGGAGCAGCTCCACATATAATGAGAGATATAAATAAAGATTCTGAGGAATTAATATATAAATCTATATATCTAGATATTGCTTTCAGATTTTAATTTATTTCTTTTTTCAAATCTCATATAAATAAAAATATATAATATATAAACCGATCTCGAAAATTATACCTAATTATCCAATCTAAATATCTAAATAACGAAAATATATAAATTATTTCTAACATTTATATAATTAAAAACTTATATTAAAAAGATATATTATTTCCCATTACTCTTAAATATAATTTAAATATACTAAGATTTAGCAATAGATTCTTAATATAAAATGAAAGAATCAAATTAATTTTTATTTAATAGAAAATCTTTTTTAATCCATAAAAGATTCATATATCTGGAAATATCAAACTATAATATATCGCTAAGATTTTTAGAGACATTTTCTAATTATTCAACCAAATAGTCCAAAATTGTCGTAATCTCTAGTTCATGCTCCTAAAAATGAATTTCTTGTATGATTTTCTTCCCAAATTTATATTCATCAATCTCTTCTAGGTCTTCATCCGTCTTAACATCCGTCTTAACATTATTTCTAATTCATTATAAATCTTCTCTTATTGGGATTTTATGTCTAAAAATCCATATTATCTCAAATAGTGTTCAACCCCAATCATTTTAAAATTATCTAGTATGTGTCAACCCATCAGTGAATCAATCAAGTAATCAACTATTTATTCTATTTATACGCTTAATTCAATAGATAAACCTTTTTATAATGAGTAAGTAACTAACTACTGGATAGAAAGTTGCTCACAATTCTTTCTCTGCCAGAAAATAACCAGTGAATAAAGGAAGGAATGAAAGAACGAAGCAATGGCGGAATGAATAATTGAAGATGGAATGATGAATGAATAATTTAACGAATGAATGAACGACTGACTAATTGAATGAGATTATGAATTCTTTCAACAACTAAATAAAGGCACGGAATATAGATGCCCAGTATAGAAACTAGTACAAGTACCTATGGTAGTTTTGTTGTTTTTTGAATGCCCTGTGTGCCAGCTCTCTGAGACAATCTTTGCTAGATGCCCTTTCGATGGCAGCTGCCAGCACGCACTACCTCGCAGACCGACAGGCACAGGGACAGGATGGTTGTGCCAGCGTGAGACCGTTCGCCCGCCTCTTTGAAATCGTCGTTCCTCTGCCGTATCTGTGGGAGCTTCCGATCCACCTCTTCTGGTGTTGACCTTGGCCTGGACGTGTGCGCTTGTTCTTCCAATCCGGAGGCCTGACATGACAGCTCACAAGGACAACTGCCCTATGCGGGGATACACGTTTGCCTCTGATGGGATTCAAGTCCAAAGCACAGGACAGTGCCCGTCAAGACGCCATGCAGCTTCCGGGATGCTCTGGGGCCTGATGTCCTTCTTTCGACGCTGGGATCTTTCTAGGGGATCGGCATAGCGCAGATCCTTCATGCCGCTTCCTGGGCAGCTGCTCCAGGAATGGACCGCGACCGCAGCTCTTACAAGGCCGCTGAGCACATCGCGCATTCGGAAGGCTCGGCGACCTGATTTGTCTGATCTTTCGGCATACACAGCAGTCCCAATGACGACCATCGGCAAACATGGACATGCGGCCTGGACGATTCCACTGCAAGGCATTGTCTCTTCCGAATTCGCCGCGCCCGTGTCTCATGAGCCTGTCAGTATCGGGAAGCAAAATGCTGTAACTCTTCCTTCAAGCCGACAAACCCTACTTGCTGACTTCCTTGACTCCCACATGTCACGGAACGGCAAGCCCCGAAGCAACCCAAGTGCAAGGACGGGCTGCACTTCCCGAGCAGCTTCTTAAACAACTGCGCTGACACTCCCAGTCTGCATAGTCTTATTCAGCCCATTACGGACTGTGGCAGTCATACAGGCACCCCTGCCTTCTCATGCGAATCTTTGACAAGGTACCCTGCTTGATTATCTTCTCCGATTTTTGCAGCATGGCCTGCGACATGTAATGGCTCGCCGAGACATCTACGTCTTTGTCTGTGCACACCAAGTCTGAATTTGCGGCTCGAGGTACTTGCGAGTTCTTGGCCTGCCAAGGTGAGGCAACATGCACTCAGTCCACAACAAAAGCCAGGTCATGATTGCTGCACCATGCCCAGATACCGGGCAAGCTCGGACACATGCCCAGTCGAGGCCTTGAGGACGACCAAATTCCGAGTTCGAGCTAACTTCTCTTTGTTCTGATAGGTGACCTGCAGTCGCACGAAGTTCGGTATGCTCATGCAGCTGCGTCCCTTTGTAGAGCCGGCGGCGTTCGCAACCTGCAAGTACGGCGCCACCTGCTGGGCGAGGCGAAGCTTCAGCTCTCTCGAATCAAGTTTGGACTGAGCTGTGGACATCCTTCGGCATGTTCCAGAGTCTCTGACGAGCAACGTCTGCCTTCCTCGGTCCCAAGCAGAATCAACAGTGACCTGGCGACAGTCGCCTTGTGTGCTCAAGACGTGGCGTTTGCGCTTGAGAGAGCGGGGCATCTCCATGAGACTCTGGATCCTCCTTTCATGCACTTTTGATGCTCTGTTATCTCTGTTGAAGGCTTCAAGAGGCTCAGGCCGCGGCCAGCTCTGCAAGAGCTTCCTCCTGGCAGACACAACAGAAATTCACAAAGGCTCGCTCCATGCAATCCGCGTACATGGCCTCTCCCTCGTCCTGGTCAAAGAAATCTTCATCTCCTGCGAAGACTATCGGACAGGCTTGCAGAGAAAGCACCGAGTTGCGCAGTAGCTGCTCCGCAGGTCTTCAGGGGTCCTTCAGCCCCGTCATCGACGTGCAGATCGTCGAACTCCTCCTGCTCGGCTGCCTGGAAGGCCGCGACACTGTCCATGTGAAAAGTTGCTCGAGTGCCATGGCAGCGCCACCACAGCCTTAGACTGGAAGAGCTGCTGGAGGTGGTGGCTTCTGGATCCCACTCGGCTAACCTCAACAGCGGCAAAGGCTCAGATCCTAATTTCATCAGAGCAAGAGGCGACTGAAGAACTATGGAGATCACCAGCCCATGTGCGGTGCTTCATTCTCAGGAGGCCACCATGGTAGGAGACGCTACGAAAGAGAAGGCTCCTCCGCAGAAGGTTATTCAGCAGCCGCTCAACCAAACTACCATCAATCACACACATACAACAAGGGGTAGCATAACATGGTTTGATGAAGGGTTTTTTGCACCTCTCTCGTGTCCAAAGGGTGCCAAGGCGATGGCGATCATTGCGAGGAACACAGCCTCCGCTCTTCAAATCATCCCTCTTGCAAACGAGAACAGAACAGCGGTGGAACTGCAGTCTTCCGGATTCGACCTTGATGCCTGTCCTCGGCTGACGACGAAGACCTCCACACTTGCACATGGCACCACATCGACACGCAGTTCCCCGTTTGCTGTTCGACACCCACTCGCCCCTGTACAGTTGCAGCCCTTGTGCCACATGTCCTGGCATCCCCATCCGAATGTCACCCAACTCTGCCTTGCCTGTTCTCCTTGGGGAGTCGGTGCAAGGCACCATCATGGCAGGCTGCATGCGTAGAAAGCGGTCTTTTTTGCGATGAGCAAGCATCAGTTCTGGGCTAAAACAGTATGGTCACCCTGCTTCAGATTGACACCGGTGACGGCAAAAACATCCGGTTTGTGATTACATGCGCCATGGCTAATACAATCAAAAAGCGAAGCTGCTGCAACGGCATTCATGAGTTGCCTACTACTGACTTCTTCGTCCCAATATTGATCAAGCCAATGTGGCCACGAGCCATGGTTGCTGCGACTCGACGTGCTGTCCCACTCAGACGCGAGAGGCCCTGAAGGTAGACTGAGTCTTGCTTTGCCTTTTCCATGTCTAATCTCAGCAGGTGTGTTCCTGTTTGCACCACTCTCGTATGGCCCTCACGTACAGTCAGAACCAAGCCTTCGTAATGTGGGAGGTTGTTGTAAACGAGGGGGGTCAAAACAAGAGACGGGGCTCCAGTAGTTGTCTCAACCAGCAGGTGGAGACAAAGCCTTGATTATAACAGTGCCTTTGTCTCTACCTGCTGGAGACAAAAACTGGAGCCCGGTCAAGCCACGGCGGAATCATGAAGCCAGGTAACCACGGAAGCGGTCAGCGGACCGGAACAGCTGCAACTGTTGTGGTCCGGACAGCAGAGACCAATGCACCTCAAAAGCTTGGGACGGAAGCAATCCAAGATCGGACGGATTATCGCGACTCAACGCGTCTGCAACATCATTGCAGATACCCGGAACATGATCGATGTGCACGGAAATGCGGAGCCGTTCTTGCAACACGAAAAACGCGCGTAGTACGGTGCACAGCCGCTTGGCCATACTCAAGCCCTTCCAGGAGGCGGACTCGGAGGCGGAGTTATCGGAGCGAAAGAAAGACCACATGAATGGGTAAGTGCCCCGCAACAAGTTGGTGGTGAAGCATTCGGGCGGAAGCCACGGAAACAGTGTAAGTATCTGAGGACCGGAGAAGGTGCTTTGAAGAAATTACGGGCGGGACTCCTGAAGACGGACGAACCCACCCATGCCCATGGACTCGGAGTGCACTCGAATTTGGGGGGGCAAAATAGGTGAACGAAGATCGGAACCGGAGGTGACCAAATCAAGGAATCGGAAAGCCTGGAAGCCCGTGAGGGAGAACAGGATTGAACCCAGATGCGACGCGCCTCGGAGACCACACGGAGGATGTCAACTTTTTAAGAGAGTGCCGTCTGTCCAACATGCAAGAGACGGGAGCCGGACGGTGGGGGCGGACGGTGGGGGCGGCAATGCCAACGGAACGGGTCAGCACCAGGTTGGCGTCGACACACTCGCACAGCCGCTGCCGCAAGTCTGGAGAGACAGCCGTGAGAACCGGTGTAAAGGCATGTTGGTCGGAGTAAAGAGGTGCAAGGGAAGGGCGGAAGCATCGAAAGAGGGACGAAGGCCAGAGCAATTTCCCTGTGAGGCGTTCCAGATCACGGAAGGAGCAGTCGGTGGCTGCAAGGACGGACTTGGCCAGCACGACCAGCCGTGTGACCTTGTCGGGATGCAGGCGGACCGTAATAAAGCAGTTGAAATCCAGCTGCCAACCCAGACCACCGTTGGGGCAAGAGAGCCCTTGTGCCAACTCATCGGAACTTCGAGGCGTCGGCGATGATGGAAACAAAAAACAAACCACGGTCGGAAGGGCGAATGAGGACGCAGCGGTGTGCCTCGGCAACGTCCAGCACCAGCGCAACGAGCTGATCCTGGGAGTCGGAGAGCATGTGCACCCAAGCCTGCCAAACTCAACGCTATGACATAGGTCCGGTCATTGGGAATTCAATAGGTCGCCATGTCCCGCCATGTCAGGAGCTTCAGGAGCACGAGGGGGAGTAAAACCAGGTCGAAATTCCACAGCCCGCTCCTGCTCTTACTGCAATCTCGAAAAGGTGGGATGTGCGGTGGACGTGCGGGGTCTGTGCGGGGGGTTTGCGGAGAGGCCTTTTGGGAGGCAGGTGACAGGCCCCAGAAAAAGGATTTTAGGTGTTGTTTTTTGTGAGAGTGCGGGCATGTGCGGAGCATGTGCATGGGATGTGCCGGGGATGCGGGGGATGTGCGGGGGGGTTGTGCGGGTGCACGGGGGATGTGCGGGCTGCGCGCTTCTGAAAGGACGTCCCTGGAAAGCCCCTGAGAGGCCCTTTGGGAGGCACGTGACAGGCCCCTGTTTTTCCACCACTCGCAAGCTCCGAACCGGCACGGCTTCAGATTTAGGGCCTTTTCCCCTCTCGCATAGCTAAGGATCAAAGCCCAAAAGTTTAGGGTTTGGCGTGCGGCAGCACCCCCTCAGCACAGCAAGGTTGCAGATTTTGCGCCCCGAGTTCCCCCCAAGCTTGCGCAATTACTGCCGAAGCAGTGCGTTGTTATTCCCGGGCTTGCGCTTTTACTGAGGATGCTTCCACCACACCTCCATTCACATGTGGTGCAAAGTGTATGGCTCGTTGGCCAACGGTGCTTCAAGAAGTTGATGCGCCCTTTTGTCGTGGGGTGTCCATGTTGGCACGAACTCATGCGAAAGAATGATTCTTCATCTAAGTCGGGATGGAGCTATGCCGTCGCAAGAAAGAAGAAAAGTGCAAACACTCCTAGTGTTTCCCGAAGGGTTGGCGGTAGTCCTGCCTCTGACACGGTCTTGTGGCCGAGCTGTTCATGGTGCAGCGGCGGTGCACGCAGTTCTTTCAGGACAGGGTGTCGCGTGCTGAACTCATTGGCTTCATGTGTTAAGAGCCCTTCTCTCCGGAAAATGAACAAGATCTTCAAGCCCTTGGTGCACGTTGCGAAACATGTTCCTGTGCTGGTATTGGTATTTAGCTGCCGGCTGCCGATGACAATTTGAGCTGAGCGAAGACGCAATGATGGTGCACCAGCTTCGAGATCTCGGGCATGGCAGCTAAGATGCTACGAATGAGAGAAGTTCCCTTCGGGAACATCTGAAGAGTATGCCATTACACCATAGCTAGCTGTTCCGCGCTGCACGCAGCTGCGCATCCAAGTCGGAACTGAACAAATCGTCATCCACGTCGTCTTGCCCTCTTGTAGCCGTGGCCTTGCCTGCTATCAACGCTTGTCTTTGCTTTTCCTCGAGCGCAAGGCGGGCTTCCATTTCCGCAATCCTTCGCTGAAGGTTTTCTTCCGAGTCTCTCCCGCGCAAAGTGGTCGACCTGTATCCGTCCGCATCTGCATCCATTTCGGGCTTCAGGCTAAAGACCCATCCGATGAGGCGGACGACTCCCACAACCACCAGGAAGGCCACGATGTAAAAAGGGTTGAAGCTCCAGCCCTCTGCATCGGAGTCGTCAGCCCTTGCTTCAGCAGAAAGCGTTGCAAGAAGCAGCGCCGCCGGCGTGGCTCCGGAGACTCTCACACTGCGAGCCCGCTGCTGATGCCCTGCTGGAACGAAAGCCGTGAAACTCTCGCTCGCTAACCATACGGCACCACAGAAAGCGAGTCTGCGAACTCCGGTGGCTCTCCCTGCACTGCGGTCGCAACGCTGAGCCATGTCTCTGACCAGGCGGCCCTGGGAGCCTCCACTTTTGAGCCGAAAGCCCCGGTAGCAACAGGCGCATTTCTGAAGGCATTGCCAGAGACCTTCTGGATTGCTCGACATGATGGCGGCACAGTCCCTTTTTCCAGAAACCATTGTCATTCGGTTTCGGACTCAGCGATCGCCCGGCCCAATCTCAGGCGCAACTTTTGCATGACGCATAATCCTCCAGAGAATGGTGCTACACGGCCAACCAGCGGCCAGCGGTCTGAACGAACTCAAGACACGATGGCTCTATGACGCGCCCTTGACCAGCGGATGGAATTACATTATTGACCCTCTGTCTGCTTGCAGTTGCTGCGGGTATACATGTTCCTCTTTCATTCGTTGGTGAAGTTGGCAACTCCCCCATTGCCCCGTGAGTATGCATGAAGTCTCTCAGAAGACCAACGGGGGCTCGTCATTTTCCTTCGCATGCGCGCCTCGTTTACCGATTTGCCTCTGGACTGCTAAGTTTTCTATTATGAAAACAGGCCACCAAGCAAACGTCGCATTCACGCATGCGTGCAGAGATGCGCGAAGGGGTGCGCGCGCATGCAGCGTGCTTAGCCAGTGCTTAGCTCCTTGTTCCAATCGAAGCCACACGCGTAAAGAAATGACGGATGACCGCATGCAGTGTCCTCCTGAAACCTAGTGTGGCAAGTTAAACCCGATTCGCTCCTTGGCACCGTCAGACTCAATCAATAGCGGTTCCTCGAGACAAAGAGGAGCTGTGGCAACGTGAAGCATGCCGGCTGAGACTCAGCACCGTGCTTCTTCCTGGCCCCATTTTGGCAAGAGCAGTGGAGCCAGTAATGACACTGTAGCCATCAGCGACATCAGGCACCCTGCAAGAGCATGAAAAAAGAGTTCACCTTGCCACGTCCAGATTTGTGAGACAAGCAACACTCGTCCGGCCTACAAAGAAGTCAAAGCTGCCGGTGACTTCTTTGCTCAACTCGAAGACGAGGGGGGCGCCTGCTTGCAAATGGCAAGAGCCACTGCCAGCACTGCTAAGCACTGCGAGCACGCACGGTAAAGCCGGAGCACTGATTGATCCCATGCGGCCGGCTGCAGTGCAGATGCCAACCTCGTCGAAATGCCAACACTTTGCCATACCCAGCATGACACTCTGTAGAATCTGTGTGCAACATGCTTGGACGATCATGATCCGAGCAAGCAGCAGCTGTTTGGCGGATGCGCGCCGGAAATGCAGCAGTTGTGTAAGAAACTGTGAAGACGAAATATGACCTGCGTCACACACCGAGAGAACCTCTTCGTCGCTTCCCGTGTGTCCTGCGACTCGAGCTGAGCCCCCAACATTGCGAGCAGCTTGACCATGTAGGCCGCGGGCGCAGCCTCGAATTGAGACCAGATGACAAAAAATGACAAAACTACCGATTGCTCCAACGAGCATCCGTCGATTATCGCTGGGTCGTTTGCCGAACTTTCCGGCGCTGCCGTCAGCATGCCCACACCAAAGAAGCTGCCTAAGCTGTGCCCCTTGAAGGGCCCACGAGCCTTCCTTGAGCGATGGAGCAGTGGGTCACACACACAAATGAAATGCAAGCCGAAGCACATAGCATAGCAGAGCCGGACATCCAGTACACCAAAGAGACCTACGTGTCTTGCTGCTGTGGCTTCAACACAGAGCTCTCCTCTCTCACTACCCACGAGCATAAAAGCATCTGCCCAGCGTACTCCTGGAATTCTGGAGCACAAGTAGGTCAGCACGACGCCCGGCATTGCCAAGGTCGCTACCTCGGCAGCGAATCCAAAGCCCTACATGGCCTACACCAGAGACCAGTGACGGGATCCGAGGTTGCTGCTACCATCAACTCCACGCCTGCCTGGTGAACTTTGCTATCGCTGCCCGTGGGACGATCACACTCAGGGCGGCCCCGGCCGTCAGGTTCTTCAGGAACACGAAGTACCTTGGGCATGTTGCATGGACTGCCGGGCTTTGTCATTGCATCGTGCTTCCGCAAGCAGTGGCAATCAAGTTGCTGAGGAAGCATGTATGAAAGGCCAAACACACCAAAGTCCTGCAGGCTATGCAGCTCTGCATTCCTATAAAGATGCAGACGTTCAACCGGCACGTCCCTCCTTGGCAACGTGAGCCAGGCACATAAAGGACACCACAGGGAGAAAATCGCCAGAACACCTTTGCAAACTTCTCAGCTTCATTCGCAAAAGCACAGGCGAAGGCGACAGTCAATCAACGGACAAATAATCAGCATCCGCGGCCCAGACAGCTCTGCCACAACATGTCGGAAGGAATATGACCGCGACGGCGATGTTGGACTCGGCTCGCCGCCTGCACTTGCACTTGATCTGCCAGCCTTGTCCCTCCGAAAAGCCCAAGCACCTTCGTCGGCATCTGGCGCACTGAACGCGACACCTACATCATGCGCAAGGTGGTCACATATCCGGGCCGGGGTTACTGGAGAATGAAAACTGCGGCGAGATGCAGAGCTTCTCGACATCTAGTTCGGAGCCGTTCAACTTGGCCTGTCGCGGACGGTCTAAATTGAATTTCTGCATTGCTTCTCCAAGTTCCAAGGGCCCCGCCATGCGTTGGAGGACCTGTTGCGAGCAACATGCTACGAGTGGGCTCGGGCTTCGCGAACACATGCAGTAGTTACCTTCCTTGTGCGCAGCTATTTTCTCAAGCAGAAGCGCTTCAAGTGCAAATCCAGCTCGAATCGCGGAGCCTGCTACCCGATTGTTCAGCTGGTTGCGGTTCGGGCAGGGGCCCCTCGGGCCCCCAGTGACTTCTCAAAGCAACATGGCAACGGTGCCAGATTCCTGACTGCATGCGGTGCGCCGAGTAAAGTTCAGCTGGTTACGGCTGTGTCACGTGCACATGTCGGATCAAAACTGCCTTCCCGCCACGGTTGCTTTGTGCATTCCACGGCTGCCGCTGTGTAGCGGTGAACATTTTGGACAAGAAAGGCCCTGGGCAGTCTCGTTGCATACGGTTTGAGCCTCCTTATGTTCAGAAAAATCCGACTGCTGTGTCATCCGCCGCGCCGATCACCGCTACTGTGCTCTGCGACAAAGTGCATCAGCGCTCGCAATACGAATGATGAAACATGACCCCAGGCTCCTTTCTTGGTTGCAGGGTGCTGGCGTGTTAGGTGCCAGCCCGGGTCCCTCTCCAACACTAGACCCCTGCTTTCAAGCATTTGCGATTTGTGCGGTGGTCCCTGCCCGCTTCACAGCCTAACTCAAGCAGCAATGGTTCCAGACTGGAGCATCTGGGCCTCTGCTAAAGTCCACGCAGGCCTCTCTCGCTGTCTCTTCTTCCCCACACACACAGACGCACACAAGGCTAGAGGAGGGGTGGTTCCCCCGCATCCCCACGTGCGAACGCACACCTGCTAGGGCTGCTCTCTTGTCTTTCGTACGGCTTAATTAAGAGGGAACCCCTGCGTGGGGGCGCGACCCCTGCTGGGTGTTCGCGGGGGTTTGGCTAGCTTAGCCTTTTTTCGCCTCGATTGTAAGATGCCAGCACGCCATTCCGAAGAAAACTCATGCACCGACAGAATCCGATCGGTCAACTGGCTGAGGAACCGGATCTACAGCATGGCTTCCCAGATGCATGACACTACGTGGCTACTTCTTTTCCACACAGTCAAGGCGGAGAACACCCTTCGAATGGCCCTTCTTCCACACAGCGAAAGGGCGACGCACAAGCATGCCCACTGGGATCCAAAGTCTGTGTGACTCTCACTTCCATTTCTCTCGCTCTTGCCTGCTCTCTCCCTCTGTATTGGGCCTGGTGGAGGGGATGTGGAAAACAGAGGTTGTGCACGGCTAAAGCCCCAGAACTCTCTACCCCGCACTCTGACGAGCAACAGGAAAGGATCGCCTGCTCGCACTCTTCAAATCGACCGCAATTTGCGAGAAATTGCGGCGACTCGTCCAAGAATTTGCTCGCCTTAGCTACAGATCCGCCAGCTTTATCTTATCCAGCTAGCCGCGTAAACTGATGCAAACTTGCATACTCGCAGGCACATGTCACTACTTGAGTGCATGTGCGAGTTTGAGGCCAGGACCAAGATCAGAAAGAGAAAGGCTGGGATAGCCTCAGGGACATCATCGCAAGAAGCCGATCCATGCAAGTCTTCGACTCTTGAGCACCAGACGCTCATTTCACAAAGCGTCTTCCATGCACAGAGCTCCGGCCTTAGATTGCATGGCGCTGCCGCTCTCTGAGACAGGCATAAAGATTTGGTTTGCTGCGGCTCTTAGCTGCCAACTGCATCAGTGCACGTGACGGGTAGTACAGATCCATGCTGCAACCTGCCGGAAATGTAACGCGACGTGCACACGGGCCATCAAAGGAACTGCGCGAAGGTCAGTGTAGGCTGAGGGCCATGAGCAGAGTTGTCAAGCTCTGGGTCAACAAACAGAACCTGCATCCCGCAATGCACACAACCAGAGAGATCCATCTGAGGCTGAGCCCATCCGCAAAGGATGAAGCATGATCTGGGACAGACACCACCAAAGCACCAATGAGCTCACCCAGCGGCATGAAGCCGATCATGAGCGTGTTGAGACTACTCCTCCAACCAGACGGCGCAACCTGCATGTCAACAGAAGCTGCCGATCGCTGCTGCACGAGCAGCACCGGATAAACACGTTTTGCAGGAAGGACGACGAAGAGGTTGACTGAAACAGCGACTGTCGTCACACAACAGATTCACATTTGCACAAACACGGCGTGCTCCGTGGCCTCTGGCATGAGGGAGTAAGCGGCAGGAAAGCCGATTCCACAACCTGCCCATGCTAGCTGCTGGCGTCGAAGTGCCCTGACAAGCCTAGGCCTGCCTATCCCAACGAAGAAGCGAAGAAAGATCATGAAGCCAGGCCTGAGGCAGTAACGACTTAGAGCAGGCACCCAAAGTAGCTTCACGCAACCGACTTCAGTGCCCGACCCCTGCGAACACGCCGTTGCAAAGCCAAAGAACGCGATCATAGCATACCTCGGGGCATCTTGCCAGAAGATGGAGCATTTTTCACTCCGGCAGCAGGCAGCCGGCGCTAGCAGAATCGATGTACGCCGGCCGAACCGGTCGCCGATCTGGCCTGAAATGAAGTTGCCGACCTTGGACCACTTCTCGCAAAAAGCACCAACTACAAAGAAGTCGAAACGATACAATCGCCGAGCATGCCGCAGAAAAGCCAATAAAAACCTCGACGACAAGACCCAATTTGTCGCTTCAGTGCTGGCAGTAGCAGTACCCTCATGGACAGAATGAGTGGGTGCTCCGAGGGACTATCGAAACCATACCGCCGCGAACTGCCGGATTCAGCTCCCAGTGTCGATGAAGCAAAGAAGTGATGGAGCCTCATCGCTAGAGGCTGGACAGGCGCCTTCTGTGATGAACATACACACACACACACACAAGAGGCCGGCCCATCACCAGCATCTCAGCACCCTCCGCCAAGAAGATGCCGCCGGTGAGGAACAACGGCTAGGCAATGCCCGGCATGCAGCCACAGGGCATAGCCACTACGATGCAAGCCGAACTCGAATGCACGAATGCCCACTGAGATACTCGCGACAAGCCTAGGCACAGCTGCAGGCTCTTCACTTCACTCTCGGTTGCCCTTGTGTATCTTTGTTAGCGTTTCGACCGGGCTCTTGCCATGCTGAGCGAGTAGCTGATACAACCCAAAGCCCACTTCCTCAACAGCACCAGCGACTGCCTCACACGCGATGCGAAGCAGCAAGAGCCAAGAGGTGCGAACAGCTTCTGCCCAGGTATGCCTTGGCCGCCGGGGTCTTTTGCACTGGAGATGCTCCATCTGCGCCCATGCCGCCTCGGTCTCAGTAGAGGCAATCGAGTCGACCTGTTTTAAAACTGACGGGCCACGGCTTACGGCGTATGCGGCTTTTCAGCCTCTTCGTTGAAGTGCCCTCATTGGCACAGGCTACAGATTGGCTACGTCCTTGTAGCCTACTTAGCCCTATTAGAGCCGAAGGGAATGCGAAAGCATGAAGGACGCAGTGCATTTCTCAGAGCATGGTCGTGCACATGTACAGCAGCTTGTTTGGCAGGCTCGTTGCTGCTTTGGTGCCTCTCAGCTTCCAAGCACAGGCCTTGGTTGTCTGGTGTTCACTTGGTGCGCCAGGTCCAGGTGTCATTGCTCGAACTTCTGAGGCTTCCTCTTGGCACCGACCTTGTCCTTTCTGCCAGCACCATTTCGGTAATCCTCGTCAATTTTATCGTTTGGCTACTCCACACCAAGCAGCCAACATCAGGTCTGCACGACTTTGCCGAGCCTGCACAGCAGCTTCGAAACGCTCGAGGAAGCAATCCATCCTGGCAGCTCTCATCGAGTCACGACATTAGGCTGGCAAGGCAAGTTTCACGAGCTCAGGGGAGCTTTATGCAGCAGGCCAGGGCGCGACAAAGCCATCAAGAACGGAACAAACATGTCGGTGAGTCTCTTTCTTCTCCGCACCTGTACTAAGCGCACAGGACATCACTTGTGAGATTCCCATAGAGTGCTGGAAGTTCCGCTGTGATACAGCTGTTTGTGCATGCGCCTATTGCGCAAGCAGCGGTCAAATAGCAGCAGGGATAGGCCTGCCAGCCGTCTGCAAGCATCCAGTCTGAGGGCTTGCATCAAACAATGTCAAACATGTGGGCGTTGCGTTTGTATGGGCTCCATAGCATTCGAAGGGTGTTCCGTCGATGACCTGCACTGCAACGGCATGCTCCCAGATCTCCTCGGAGCACGGTGTGATCCTCCACCTTTCGATACTTGCCCTTCACTTTGACCGACTCTGCTTGGTCTTCCGGCTTCGCCTGAAACGGGCGCATAATAGCGGAGCAACTTTCTGGCAATCGGCGAAGGGCGGCACTGCATCCTGCAAAGCCGCAGCCGACCTGGTCACAACAATGAAGCGACAACTGCAGCCTACTCCATGCTTCAACGTGCGGGCTGATTTCCACGTGTAACCGTGAGTCTTTGAAGCTGTGGAACTGACAAATTCTGCACAAGTCGATCCGGACACTGTGAATCGACCCACACCAAGTCGCAATGCTTCGCTCGAACTCAGACTCTTTCTGTCCGCGTTTACAAGTCTTTATCACTGCTGTGGCCGAGACGGTGGGGTACAAAGGACCACTCGCGGCCCGGATACCTGAGAAATGCTTGCCCAAAGCGAAGTGTAAGGTATAGCAAGCTGAAGTAGAGGTCTTGGTTGTCGAAGTCGTGCTGTGCATCATGGAGATAAAGGTGCTGACGCGTCTGGTGAACAATGCGGAGCCTGGCAGGGCAGCAGGGCCAGAGGCTTCCTGTTCACTTAGGCATGGCACAGGCCTAGGAAAGTGAGGTGGTCGATGTCGTCTTCCTCACCGAGCTGCTGAGACCTGTGGGAGCCCGATTAATCCATGCTGCCGCTGAGAGATAGCGTGGCTTTAACAGGAGCTGACTGCAGCACCAACCAAACTTTTGTGACACCCCCGGTATGGTACGGTCGCAACTGCACATGCCTACCTACTGTCATGGACAGAGACAGTGCTTTGCACAAGCTCTTCAACGGTCTGCTCCCGTGAACTCGATTGAATTCTCTGGAGCAATAACATAAATAAGGTGCCTTCGGCACCCAAGCCGAACCTGGTTTGCAGGCCGACAGTTGTCCGACGAAAGTGAGTACTGAGTACAGGCTGTCCAGGATCTTCCGAACAGGCTTAGACATGAAATGGGTCAGAGCCATCGAAGATGGGATGATGCTGTCGCACCACATCTCCTCACCTTGCAGGAACTGCTTCAGGTCCTTCTACAGACGCAAGGAAAGGCATGAGCAGCCTTCTAGACGATGGACTTGCCAGCTTTGTGAGCCCTTGCAGAAGGAGATTCCGTGAAAGATGTCGAGAATCGGGGACAAGCTGAAAACTTGCCCTGGCCCGAGCCTGTCAAGGCGCCTGGGGCTCAGCAACGTGTCCAAGCCAGGCCTCGCCAACTTCGGCAAGGAAAACAAGGACAAGCATGACGAATCATCAGTTTCTGAACTGCGCAGCGCTTGAGGGCAAGACTTCTTCTTTTGACTCCTTCGCATGAGTTGCAACTACAACAGAACACACAGTACAAGAACGCCCTGCTTTTCAAGACTCACTCGCCACAACCTATGGACAGAGCACCAGTATCTCTCCAGTAATACTGGGGACAAGTGCCACAAGCATGCGCTCTCTTTTAACAGCTGAACACAAATAAATACGACAATTGATCTAGCCGACTCTTAAAAGCAAGTGTCCATGCAACACAATGCGACGCACAAGTAAGGGCTATCCATGCAACATCCTCCAGGGATTCTGCCGCGCTTCCACCGGATACTCCTCAGGATTAACATGGTCTTTCCCTGTACAAGCAGCTATCCAACAGAGTCTGGGAGCCTCAGTTCTTCTGACAACGGGCACCGGGGCCATGAGTAGTATCGGCCTGCACCAGTCAAAGGAGCCAACAGAGACTGAACTGAGCACCATCGGCTCACCTTCGATCATGCTCTAGCACTCTAGCGGGACACACAGCCCGCCACGGTCCTCCCATGCATCACAGTATCCCCCTCACGAATATGTTCGAACAGCACGTTCTATGCGAACTTCTTCCCATCGGACTAGGTGGGTCTGCCACCCCATACTCCCCGCAGTGACTCTGTGGCTGACCGATCGACTGCCGTTGGGCTGCAATCTTGGGTCAGTATTGCAAACGAGCTGGATTAGGCGATGCGCCGAGTCCGAGCACGAAGAAGAGCTGACAAGACACAACATTCCTCCGATAGTAACATCTCGAAGTGAGACTCTCTTGCCCAACCCACCCAGCATCGAGAAATGAAGCTTTGACATGAGTGACATGGGGACGCGCCGCTTTGTCCAGCAGGTATGATTCGGCTTCTGTGGTGCTCCCAACATAGGTCACAAAAACGAGAGCCGAGAGCAGAGGGAGCAAAACGTGAGTGAACAGTTCGTCTACGAACGCTCTTCAAACATGCACTTGGCATTGCCCATGAACAACCACAGCGGCAAGTGTTGCACTGTTCGCTGTGTGCGGCGAATTGGTGTTAGCTACGCAACCCGAAACAGCAACCGGGCGGCTACTTCGGGAATCTCAGCGGCGACCTGGGCAGATCTTCACCTCGAGCATTCACCCAGACACGAACTCCGCTTTGGTGGAAAAGTTTTTGTTGATCCCAGTTCCTTTGAACGTTGCATTGAAGGATTGCAGCCCTCTGGGCAGCTTCGCTCGCAACGAGTTGACGCCTGCAGAGCCGATTCCAGTGCAGCCCGCAAAATGAAGCTCAAGCTCCTCCAAGCCGGCGGGCAGGCTGGAAGCGACTGCGATCAACCCGGTGTCTGTTAGCTTGCTGCACCCGATGAAATCCAAATAAAGAAGCTTCAGGTTGGCACCGAACCTCGACCTCAGATGCCGATTGAATCAGCCCTAGCCTCGGGAAAAAGGAACACAGCGCCTTCTAATGGCTGCCAGGATTCCCCAAACTTGACAGGCTGGCATCCGTGATGCGCTTGCAACCCTCAAAGCTGAGCCTGAGCTCCGTCAGGTTCGGGGGCAAGCCTGAAGCCAACATCTTCACTGCGGAGTCCACGCAGCTGTCCTGCATATGGGTTGTTGTCAAAATGTTTGTTCCCGAAACTGACGTTAATGTGGCTGTAGTTGCGTGCCGCTTCATGTGGGAAGAGGAAACCAGGCCTACAGATACGTAGTAGTAAACACAAGAGTTTGGGGATGCATGCTTGAATTCCTAAGAAGGTTGCTAGCGCCCGGACCTTTCAGCTGCTGCTGTCGGACGGGCTGTCGCTGCTGCTGCTACTGCTACTGCTGGACTCTTGGCCCGCTAGCAGGTTCTCCCGCTGCCGCTGCTTACGGGCTCGAGCCCCGCAAGCTTCTTGTGTCCAAATCACGTCGCAGGGCTTTGGAGCCAATGGCTTCCACAGCCGCGCGCTCGATGGAGGAATCGCGCTGCACACCGTACTGCTGTAGTAGCCGTCTCGGCCTTGATCACGTAGGCTTTTCCGTTCTACGGGCAGTCTGATTGCTGCTCCAGGATCTTGGCTTGTGCGGAAGTGGGCCAGGATCTTCTGGGGCAGGTTGCGTTTAAAGAAGGGGATTTCAAGGCCCCCCCAAGACAAAACAACCCCACCACCCTCCCGGGTCACGGGTGCGCTCGATGGCGCTTTCATGGCTTCTAAAGCTTCAGCTTGAGCATGCGGCATCATGCGGTTCTCAGCATGCCTAGTGCGAAACTGGCGGTTTTCCTAGCGCCACCCCTTCGGTAATAAGCGGCTCCAGTTGCGTGCCGCCTCATTGGCGAAGAGCAAAAAGGATGCACCCTTGGCGCATTAATGTCAATCTAAATAAACCAACAGACACGCGACTTTAGAACGCATCCCATATCGGAAGCTGCTTAAGTTACATAAACGCTGTGCAGTCGCCCCGATCTAGAATCTACACCCGACCAGCTCCTGGAAGTGGGCCAGGCTAAGCTCCAAGGACTGTCTGTCCGCGTCTGCCTGCAAGACTTCCGGGAGCTTCAGCTCACCATCTTGCTTGAAGTCCTGCAATAGTCCTGCAACAATGCAAGCACAACGTCCCGTCCAAAAGACAACTCGGGTGTGCCGAATCCTGCTTTAGAATCGTTTGCGCGGGTCCTCTCTGCATTGCTTGAGGCCATGCCAGAATCGCAAAGGTGGAGTGCAGCGTGGCATTTGCGCGCTTGAGGTTCTCCTGCAAATGGCGTCGAGCATCGTCGCTTGTGAGATCCGTGTGGTTTGCCATAGCCGATAGAATAGTCTGCTTGTCCTTTGCCACGGTGGCTTCGCCATCCTCGAGGCAAACTTGAAGTCCATGCTGGAGCAAGGACAACGGGAAATTCTGTTCGCGCACAGACTTCGCCACAGCTGACTCGCCTGCCAGCAGATTCTTGCTCAGCATCTGGGCTGTTGCTTGATGCCTTCTGCTTGCAGTGGCCATTGTCACGATATCAAGCTCCTTGTCTGAATCCATAATGGCAGCATAGAGCTCATAGTCACACCAGATCCTGGCAAAGTGCAATGCACGGGGGCCGTAGGGGCCAGTGAAAGAGGGCGGAAAGTAGAAGCTAGCAAGGCGGCAAGCAGCTTTTCGATGAAAACTACATTGCAAAGGCAGGCAGCGTTGTTGCATGAACTTGGCAGGGAATACATGTCGAATCAAGCAGTGGCCTGGGCCGAGCTTCCCGTCTTAAACTGCCCCATGTATGGCCGCACATACGAGCGGCGGTCACAAAGTCTACCTCAAAAGCCGCGAGAGCGACAGCAATTGAACAGCCCATCGAAGACTGCAAGAATTGGCAAGAATCCACTACAGCTGAAAACAGGCTCGGAGGAAAGGAAAATTCGAGGAGCGCTTTATTCATGCTGAGACGGCTCACAAGTCACAATGGTTGCGGGTTAGCCCTACAATGATGGCATCAAAACCGCAGCGTTGCACCAAGCCTGCTTGCGCAGAAGAGCGACTCCACAATAATTACCCCTCATCAAAAGCAGACACGAAAGAATCTTCGGGGGGGGGCGAGCGTAGTAGCTGGCTCTCGGCAACCTGCAGCAGAAGGTTTGACAACCGGTCCTGGAAAATGGCTTGGCCTCCTTGTCGAGAATTAGAAGTAATCCGCTGGCAACTTGCAGTGCGCGATAGAAGGAAGATGCCATGATGTCATCGGCTCCGATCTCGAGCTCGAGTTCGTGTTGCCGATTTGCATAGCCACACACCCAGTAAGTGGCCTCCGAATCCTCCAAGTGTCGAAGGTGGGCATGTCGCTGGCAACAATTCACAAAGGACACGATGGGCTCCCCCCACCAGTGGGAACCTGTGCAGCGCAAATCAGCAATCCAACTCTTCAACCAGCAATCCATGATGCGGAGCCTCTGAGAAACAGCTAAGAGCCCGGCAATACCATGCCGGCCGGCACGGTTCAGACGACAAGAGCTCTTTGTAACTGAAGGAGTTTTGACAAACCACTTCGATTGGTACTCCAAAGTCCGAGTCGTCGGCACATATGCTGCCGTCATCTGGGCTGGAGGTAAAACGCCCTTTCGTGAGGCGGAGGTGCAGTTTTAGGGTACCATCCGACTCGCTGCTGTTCCCCGACACCTCCGTATGTGTAACGAAAGCAGAGGCATTCGGCAAGGCCGCGTGCTCGTTCACTTGGTGTACTTGTTGGCCTTTCCGTGGTATAGAGACACTGCCAGAGGCCCTCCATGGCAACGTCAAGGTCAACTGCCCTGGCGGCGCCGTTTTCGGCAGGATGTGATGGTAGCTGAAGTGGTATAGATTCAATGCAGCAGTGGGAACCCGCTCGCCAGTCCGCTGGTCAGCCCAGCCATGTCGGCTCTCCAGCATGACATTGGAGGAAATCCGCTTCAGCTCGTGCAACGTAACTGCCCTTTCCTCGGCAGGAATTTGAGTCCGAAGCTCCACATTCAGCATCGGTGAGCTGTCGATCAATCTTGGAATAGCGAGGGAAGTTACGCCCCACTCGGACTGCTCGTTCTCGGAGGCGTCACTCATTGCGTGATCCATTCTAAGGTTTGAATCCGACGATGCGGTCTTGCGACTCTCGAAGGTCGCGATCCTGTGCAAGTCGTGTAATGTTGATCGCATCTGAAGCAAGGCACTGTGCATCCATTCCTGTTCCATCTGCACCCTTACCATGTCCATGGCTTTCGCACCTCCTCTCAGCCGCAAGCATCCGAAGAGAAACTCAGAATGCTCGATGGCACCAGTTCCATCTGAGTCCAGAACCTGAAACAATCCTATGGCATCGGAGATGTCCAGCTCGAGGGATGACAAAAAGGCATGCATCCGTTGATCTTCCAATGCTATTTGAAACTCTGTCCAAGATATGGCACCATTGCCATTCTGATCGAAATCTCTGAATACCGCACTCATTTGCTGCAAGAACTCTTCTTTGGACTCGATCTCGGATTGTATCAAGTTCTCTTTCTCCTTCTTGCTCACTTTCTTCTGAAGGCTATACAGGAAGCTTGCCATCATGTTTCCGAGAATGATCATTGAGAATGAGACGTACATCAGGAATGCGACCAGAAAGAACCAATCCCAGTGCTCCATGGCATCCCACAAAATGCCCCAAAGGAGCCCATTATAAAGAATCTGAAACAAGGTCATCATGGAAGAGGCCAGGGTTCCAAACCTGTGGCACAACAACTCCTGGCCGCCTGTCTCCACGTGGCAGGAAGGCCAAACTCCTTCGGTCAAGATCAAACTGAAGATGTAGATGATGCTGAAGGCCAAGAGAACTAGCCACACCATGACCTTCAAGCTCTCACCAATGGAAGCAACAAGTATGCGGAGCTGCCTGAACTGTGGCCACTTTGCGAAGTATCTAGCCAGGCGCATGACCCGCAGGACACGCAGTAGCCGAAGAGTCCGCAAGCCAGAGATGCTTTGTATCGCACTCTCCTGCGTGATTTGCGAAACCACCATCATGCCCACCAGCACGCTGTCCAACAAGTTCCACCATCGCATCGGTCCGAAAACGAAGAGTAGGCGCTCCACGCCAACGCGACACATCAAATCCAAGGAAAACACAATGCAAAATGCCAGCTCAGCATGTCGTGCCCATTGTGGCTCTTTTCCAGTCGAACTAGTCCACTGAAGGTTGACGCCCATGAGACATGCATACACGAAAATGAGAAGCATAATGCTGACATCATACACGAGCCAGAAATTCTTCATGCGTCGTGCACCATGCTCAATCGAGGACCAACTGTTGATTGAACTCCCGGTCCTCACCTTATTTCCGAGAGGCGCGGGCTTGGTGAGCGTCCCATCGACCATTTGTCTCACGTAGTTCGGCACTCTGGCCTGATACCCTTTAGTGCTCTTGCTGCTAATCCTGTCCGCCCCCGGTTGATGCACTGGGCTGGAAAGCTTCCCTGCATGCTCCGTGCTGTCACCCAGCACCTGCTGCAAGAACAACTTGTCGACTAACTTCTCGAAATGCGCCTTCAACCGCTCCTCATGTTCAAGGAGCAGCTCCTGTAACTTGGCTGTAGTCGGAAGGGATGAGTCTTCATCCCACTTCTTCGTGATTGAACGCCGTTCTGCCGGTCCCGGCATGGCTTGGTCGCTCCAGAGCTAAAGCTGACTTGAAAAATAGCAGCATGAATGCATCGGATACGATGACGTAAGAAAGGCCCACAGGCTTTGTCATGATAGAAAATGAAGAACAAAACACAACTTGCCCAGGCATGGCACAACTGGATTCTGGCGAAGGCCTCTTTGCCATGTGCGGGTCTCCGAAATCCACCTGACCAGACTGAGGTTCGAACTGCTTGTACCGCGCAAAGTCTTGGGCGAAGTGCATCTGTATATGGGTGGTTTTCTCAATTAGGATCCCCTTTTAGAGGGACCGCCCCTGTTGGTTCGCAGAACGGGCGAGACTCTGAAGCTCCTGACGACTCGAGCTTCGGAGCTTCAGAACGAAAATTCCTGAACCACCCCTGGCTTGCAATCCCTGTTTAGGTCCCCAAAACCGTACGGCACCCTTATAATAAGGATCCTAAAAGGGACCCTAA